GTGTGTGTGTGTGTGTGTGTGTGTGTGTGTGTGTGTGTGTGTGTCCCTGCATCAGGAGCTTTGGTTCCAGGGGTCCCGGCTTTCCCCTCGAGCCCGGGCAAACAGGCTCCTCCTGCAGCCCACGCAGAGCTGAGCACCGCACCTCCCCGGCACCTGGAGAGGTGTCGCCTACCTGTGCGGCGACAGCCACCACCGCGCGGCTAGGTGGGCATCTAGTAGGATTGTTCCTTGAAACTTTTATTGCTTTTATTTAAAGGGACGTGTGCCCACTATGTACTTGTAAAAACCCCTGCACCCCTAGTATGGCAGAACCATTGCTCCACATATCTGATCTGGGTCCGTGCGTCGTCCAGAGCTGGCCTGCCTGTAAACAGACCGCAGGTGGACATCACACTGTGTAGTAATGAGGCCCTACTCTACGTGCTGTTGTTTGAAGTTTCCCATTTACTTATATTTAATAAAAGACAAAGAATCTAATGTAAAATCCCCGAGCTTCAGAAAACATTAGCCACTTCAACAAATACTGTTTTGTTTTTTTAATAAACACTTTGCTACGAGTAGGGAAACAATTATGGTACAAACAAATCAATGATTGGGGTCATTATTTCACTTTTATTATTGCTGTTGTTACCATCATTGCTACCGCCATGGCTGTGTTCACTCTTTTTTTTTTTTTTTTTTTTTTGGTACTGGGGATTGAACTCGGGTCCTTGAACTTGTTCAGCAGGTGGTGAAACCACTGAGCTAAATCCCTGGCCCTTGTGTTCACTCTTTTGATGCCATCATTTAATTTTAGTGTAGAACCCAAGTTATCCGATATGGTAGCCACGAGCTTACCTGTGCCTGTTAAAATTAATATACAATAAAATTAAAAAACACCCAGCTCCTCAGTTGCAAAGTAGCCACATTTCAAATGCTAAGAGTTTTCACAGTGCACATATGGAATAACCCAGCAGTGGAGAGAGTTCCGTGGGATTGTGCAGGTATCGATTGGTTTACCCTGGCAGAGGAATGGACAGAACCCGAGGCCCCTCCCACTTCCCCCTTCCTAGATACAGTGGACCCTTGACTTACAAACTCAGTTCGTTCCTGAGGGCTGGTTGTAACTCAGGTTGGTCAGTGAAGGCTCAGGCTCCTCTACGCAGCCTTCAGAGTCTCCTGTACACAGGCAGATCACAGTGTCCTTAGAGAGGCGTCGGCCCAGGATTTCTCAGTTAACCCACACAGGAGAGGATGCTGTCATGCTCCTTCCGGGACTCTGTAAGGGTTAATCTGTATCTGAGACCGTCTGGAAGCACGAGCGGCCAGCATTTGGGTTGTAACTCAAGACTTGGGTCATAAGTTAAAGCCAAAATTCCAGTCGTAACCCAAGTTGTTCATACGTTAGGCTAGTCATAACTTGCGGGTCGATTGTATTCATTAGTTACGTGTATGCAACTAGTAATAAATTACAATAAAATTTGTAAATAGCTAATCCTGTGTAATACAGGTGTGTTTACACTGTCTAGTCTTGCCATGTCTCCATTCTCTTGTAGAACTGCGCGTGTCCACTTTAATAGCGACGCACGAATCTTCTCCACCGCTGTCCCTGAAAGACGTGGTCTCTGTGTCACTCCGGCCGCTGTTTGTGGAGCTCTTTCTACTTTTTTATTCCTCAAGTCTCATTTTAAGGAGGCCTCGGGGAGGGCCGTGAGAGAACCAGTGGTCGCCGTGGTGCGGGACCCGAGTCGGGGTCAGGCTGTGGGGCGCGGGCTGCCTTTTCTGAGTGGGCGGAGCCAGGCTGGGCCAGCAGCCGCCGGACCTTCCTGGTTTCTGCATCGCTGTGGGCTGGCCGTGACCTTGATTCCGGGTGGAGACCCTTGTCTCAGGAGGTGTGGCTGAATCTTCCTCACTTGTGACAACAGACAAGTCAGAGCTGACAGCTGCCATCATGGAGAGGTGCTGCCTCACCCACATGGTGCCACACGTGGGGAATCCCAGCACTGGAGGCTGAGGCAGGAGCATCATGAGTTCCAGCCTAATACACAGCAAGACCCAGTCTCGTCAAAAGAAAAAAAAGAATAGAGAGGGGCCATCTCCCAGGGACGATGCTGAAGGAGGCTTCGGGAAGGCCCAGCGGACAGGGGAGAAGGCTCTAGGTCCTGTGGGCTCCATGGTGGCCATTCTGCCCCCAAGGACAGAACCACAGTTCACAGGAGCCCATGCTGCGGGCAAGACCCTCGCAAGCCAGTTTCTCTGGGGAGCTGAGTTCCTCTGAACTGTGAGACTGTGGGTGTCAGCGGCAGGGGGTGATAGAGGTGGGCTGGGTGGGCTCAGCCACTCTTCCCAGCCCCAGGGCTGCTGGGGCTTCTGGATGCTCGCGAGAGGCAGGAAAACTGGAAGGAAACAACTTCTTTCCACTGTGAGTTGCTGTCTACATTCAGGGAGGTGACAGCCCCGTGGGTGGCTGGCCGCTTGTGGGTAGGTGGCACTCAGTGAATGGGGCCCTCTCCTGGGACAAGACCACTGTCCCCTTCATCTGTGTCCTCCTTAAGCCCAGAGTGGGGTGCCAGGGCCCCGCGGGCTGGCTGGCTGCTCCTGGACATCAGTGGACTCACTGCGTGGCCCTGTGTGTCACACCGTCCTGGTGAGCAGAGCTGACTCTGGCTGGGACCTGGAGGGGCTGCCACCTTCACTGGCTGAGCCCCAGAAGGGACAGCTGAGTGGGCCCACAGTGAGCGGACAGGATGGGGCAAAATAGACCTCGAGTCCCCAAACAATGTAGCGACCCCGGGGCCAGGCAGCCCTGACAGGCATGAGCTGCTTCCTTCCTGCCCGCAGCTCCCACGGTTCCTCTGTGGAAGTTCGGATGGGGTAACCCCTTGAGGAGCCCCAGACCTGAGGGCGGACAGACCAGGGGTCTGTGGCTGCCTCTCGTGGACCGTGGGGATTCCACGCTGCCTCCAGGGACACTGGTTACCCTGCTGCGTCCCCGTCCCTGACAGCTCAGGGTCAGCAATGCTTAAAAATGTGTGTTTGTTTATTTTTATTGGTCGGTGTTTGCAGTACACAAGATCACACTCATGGTGGGGCGCTGGACGTGCACACGAGACATCTTCATTCCTTTCATGTCCCATCCCCACCCTACCCCTCTCTCCATTTGTGGTTCCCTTCTCATTTGCAAAAGATCCACCTCCCAGCTTCCTATTATCTTCAGTCTCAGTAACTTAAAAACAAAAGCTCTTTGAGATACAACCCATGTAATGTAAAATCCACCCATTGAAAATGTAGAGTTCAGGGGATTTAGTATAGTTACGCAGTCATGTTATCATTACTACCATTAAATATTTTACTCCAAAAAGAAATCCTATATTTAGTAGCAGTGCTCAATTTCTCCCAGTCTGCTTAGCTATTGACCATCACCAGTCTCCTTCTGCCTGTTCTGCAGCCTTCAAAGAAGTGGATCATACACTATCTGGTCTTTTGTCTGGCTCCTTTCACTTAGCATAAAGTTTTCAAGGCTTGTCCATGTTGTAGTGTATATTAGAACTTCATCCCTTTTTTTTTTTTGGGCTTAAATTCTCTTATTGGTACATTTTAGGTATACAGTACATTTACATTTATCATTGGGTGCTTGTACCTGTACATGATGTATCTTGGTTCTTATTTTTTCTCCATTTCCTGTGGTCCCTTCAATCCCAGCACCCTTTCCTATTTACAAGGACTTTGTTTCCATTTTTTCCTCTTCTCTTAATTTTTCCTTTCCCTTCTTTCCTTTCCCCTTACCCTCCCACATCCCCTACCACTTTGGAACTTTTCCTATTTTAAATTATCAATTATTCATTTTAATCATTTTCATCCTTATTAACACTTTCAGTTTCTCACACTAGAGAAACTATTCAGTATTTACACATGTGTGTCCTATTTATTTCACTTAAGAGTATCGCCTCAATATGCATCCATTTAGCTATAAATGTCTCTAGTTTCTCATTCTTTATGGCTGAGTAGTACTCCATTTTATAGAAAAACCACATCTTCTTTATCCAGTTTCCAGTTGATGGGCACTTGGACTGTTTCCAAGCTTTCGCTATTACAAACTGTGCTGCTATAAACATGGGTGCACATATATCACTGTGGTGTGATTCTTTTAATTCTTTGGGGAAGGTCCCCAGCAGTGGAATAGCAGGGTCAAATGGGACTTCCAGTCCTAGTTCTTTGAGGCATCTCCATACTGATTTCCACAGTGGTTGCACCAGCCTGCACTCCCACCAGCAGTGGAGCAGGGTTCCTCTTTCCCCATAGCCCCGCCAGCCTTTGTTATTGGTTGATTTCTTGATAGCAGCCATTCTTTCTGGGGTGAGGTGGAATCTCAGTGTTGTTTTCATCTGCATCTCTTGAATGACCAGTGATGTTGAGCATTTTTTCATATGTTTATTTGGTGCTTTTACTTCTTTGTCTGAGAAATGTCTGTTCATTCCAGATGCCCATTTTTGAATTGAGTCTTTGAATTTGGGGGGTCTGATTTTTTTCAGTTCTTTATATATTCTAGATAGTAGTCCTTTGTCTGAGGTACAGCTGCTAAAATTTTTTCCCCACATTGTAGGTTGTCTCTTAGCTCTGTTGGTGGTTTCTCTTGCAGTGCAGAATCTTTTTAATAAGATGAGATCCCAGTTATTGATTCGTTGTGCTAGTTCCCATGCTACTGAGGTTTTGTTCATAAAGTCTTTTCCTATGCCAATGTCTTCAAGAATTCTACCTAATTTATCTTCCAGCAAGTTTAGTGTTTCTGTCTTAATATTTAGATCTTTAATCCACTTCAATGTTAGTTTAGTGCATGGTGATAGATATGGGTCTAG